TCTGGCAAGTTGATATTTTCCAGTGATTAGAGAAGGTTTGCACATGTCTGTTTGCTTTAGGATATTGATTTTTTTTCTGTGATCTGACAACTAGTTAAAAGAATATCTTCAGGACATAATTGTTTAGTAAGGAAAAGTTGTCACCAGCTTACTCATTCTGTCTAGACTAGTACCCAAACGGTTTGCTTCTTCTTAACTCTGATATCCATTGGATTTGAAACAAAAGTTCTTTTTTTTTAGATGACCCATCTCACCTGCCCTGACAACTTTGTTCTTTCCCAGAGATCTCTTCCACTTTTTTTTTTTTTTTTTTTTTTTTTTTTGCTTTCTTAGTCATCAAAGGATCTAGGGGATCTAGGGAACCCCCTTGCACATATTCAGAGTATTAATCAGGGAAGGAAGAAATAGCTATGGTCATTTAAAATGCAAGAGGGGTGGTGCGCCTGGGTGGCTCAGTTAGTTGAGCCTCCTGACTCTTGACTTCAGCTCAGGTCATGATCCCAGGGTGGTGGGATAGAGCCATGTTGGGCTTCACCTGAGTGTGGAACATGTTTAAGATTCTCTCTCTCCCCACCTCTGCCTCTCTCCTCCACTAGTGCGCACGCTCGCTCTCTAAAAATGAAACAAAGTAAAATAAAATGTTAGGAATTTTATAGCTTGAATTGTGTTTCTATTGACTAATGATTTTAGTGGGGCTTAATATTAATTTTGATAACTTATTCTAGTGTGTAATACTTTGATTTCAGGTTTTTCTGTTCCATTTCCTAGTGACTCCACTTTATCTTTCAGAGGATTTTATGTAAGCAAATATTTTAGAGCAGGGATGGGCAGATTTTTTTTTCTGTAAAGGACCAGGTAGTAAGTATTTTAAGGCTGTTACTATCCTGATAGTACTTAACTCTGCCTTCCTGGCTTCAAAGCAGCCATAGACAATATATAAATGAATGGATGTGGCTATGTTTGAATAAAACTTTATAAAAACAGGCAGCTGACTTGGGGCCTGTAGTTTACCAAACCTACCTAGGGGCATTAGGGCAACTTGATACTTGAAGAAATCCTTTTTAAGAAGTGAGCAATTCTTCTGAAAATGAAGCATTTTCTTTTTAGTTTTCAGTGGTTTACTTTTCAATTTTGTATGTTGAATGTTTTTAATTTTGAAATAATTTCAGAAAAGAAGAAAAGTTGCAAATAATAGTGCAAAGAAATCCCATGTACTCTTTACCCATATTCCCTAAATATTGGCATTTTACCACATTTGCTTTATCATTCTCGCTCTTCTGCTCTATGTATGAGTATGGTTATGTTTTGGATATTTATGGCTCTTATATATTTGCGCATATTCTTTTAAATGTGGAATTTTCTTAAAAGTAGGATATAGTTTGATAGAGCAGTGGTCTCCAGACTTTAAAAAATACTTCTGTTAGTAAAGGCTTTTTAGCAATCCATGTGTGTTATACATTATGGTCATACATTATAAAACAAAAGTTCTGATATTTTCTTTCTGTTCTCCAGTGGATTGAAATAGCACAACCTTTGTGTGTCTCACTTGGACGCCACTGATACAGAGAACGAACCAGGCAAACTTGTAAAGAAAGAGGGTTTTTGTTTTTTTCCCTGACAGGGGTTCAGTGACTCTTTAAATTTTTTTTTTTTAACCTTTATTTATTTTTGAGACAGAGAGAGACACAGCATGAACGGGGAGGGGCAGAGAGAGAGGGAAACACAGAATCGGAAGCAGGCTCCAGGCTCTGAGCCATCAGCCCAGAGCCCGACGCGGGGCTCGAACTCGCGGACCGCGAGATCGTGACCTGAGTCTTTAAAAACCCTTCTTGGGGCACCTGGGTGGCTCAGTCAGTTAAGCATCAGAATTCAGCTCAGGTCATGATCTCACGGTTTGTGAGTTTGAGCTCTGCATCGGGCTCTGTGCTGACAGCTCAGAGCCTGGGCCTGCTTCAGATTCTGTGTCTCCCTTTCTCTCTCTCTGCCCTTCCCTGGCTCTCACCGTCTCTCTCTCAAAATATAAACAAACATCAATAAATAAATACATTTCTAAATTGTGATCACAGGTCAGAATGAAAAGGTAGCTTCAAGCTTGAATAAGCTTGTGTGAGCCCCTCCTAAGTCCTTCCTGATTTCCCATCGTTGAATTGCACGATAGATGGTTAATTCAAGTCACATTTGTGGTGGCCAGTGAAGAAGGCACACAGCTGCCATCTCATCGCATTTTGTATCATTTCCCCATGGATGGCTCTTTGTAGGAAGCTGACTGTAGGAGAGAAAGGTCTTTCTTAGAGGTTCCTAGGAGTGGTGGTCATGTTTACTCATCTAGTAGCTCTTGTTCTTTTCTCTGTTCAATACCAATTGGAGAAGTCTTTTATTCCTTCAGATAGTACTCGTAATTGACGAGAACTTAATGTTTAATCAGTGATAAGTGTGTGGGGGTGCTATTCATAGTAATTGGCTCTCCTGATTTTGTGTATTAGCAGTTAAAATGCCATGTATATATATGGCTTGCCAGTCCATTGTATTGCCTGGGGAGCAAATGGTGCTAGCAGACTCTGTAGTGAGTAGGCACAAGGGATGCATGTTCCAGAAGAACCTCATCAGGGACTCCCCAGAGATACAGCTTAACATTTTGGTTTTACCCTGATTTAAAGAAGTCTTCTTAATTAAGATAGGAAAGTAAGGTGGGAAGTAGACTTTGCAGGATTATAAAACGGAATCATTAAAATTGAAATTATCTAATCCAAACTCTCCCAGGTCAAGAATCTCCTTTATAGCATTCTTAAAAAGTCATCTTCTCTCTGAATACTGGCACAGCCTTAGCATAGAAGTAGGGGGTAATGTTGGCTTCCCAACTTAGTAGCATCATTTTCCAGGCAGAAGTACTTAAGAAGGATATGTGTTGGTCACTCTGCAGGATGCTCTTTGCCAAAGGGCTTCTGCTTACTAAGCAGCCATTTGGAGGATAACAAGCCAGGGCTGTTATGGCCAGGACTGACTCCAGAGCCCTTTGGGATGGAACAAACTTCTCGGTGTTCCAGGGAAGTCAGCTGCTCTCAGGTCTTGCTTCTATTCTCCAACCTTCCAATTCCTAGAACTAATTCATTAGTAGTGAACAAGTATTTATCTAAGATGGCATAAAAGTCCTGAGTAGATACTCCTCTCGAAATTTCACTTTTCTTCTTTCTCCAGTCTGTGTGCCTCTCACTGCCCCTTCCTCTAACATTCTGTGGTGCAAAACTCCGAGACATACCATTATTTTAGTCATTATTTTATGTGACCCTAATGAAAAGAAAAAAAATCCTGCCAATTAAACGGCGTCATGCATTTATAAGATACATCCCAATTTCAGACATACTATAAATGGGAGGGTGGCTCTTAGAATTGATGAAACATGGCATTTCTGCTGCTGTAAACAGTGATACCATTGAAGATTCAGGTTTTCAACCGGAGAGATGTATTTTATTGCTTTCTTCTCTGCCTCATTGGTTACATTGTAATGTTCTCTCCCGTCAGTAGTAGGACTGTGTAAAGGGTCTTATGTGTGGGGTTATAGGCCTTGTCTAGATAGAAAGCATCATGTAACTGTTGGTTGTCCTGGGCAGGAAAGGTAGCAAGCCAGCTTGACAGGGCCTCTGCTATATCTCTTTCCCAGGCTGTTAGGGGAAATGCTTTGGTGAGCCAGTTGCTGGGATAAAGTGACTGCACATGACTATACCTAAAGCCAGCTGGTTTTAATAACAGTGAATTGAATTAACTCAATTGGAAAAGATTGGTAGCTGCTGTCCTTATCCTGCAGATCTGCTTTAAAGAAGAGTCTGGCAGGGAGCCGGAGACCTGTTCCCGGGAGAGCCAGGCAAGATGCTGCTGGAGAGGAACAATATGCATTTCTTTCTGAGACCATTTCCTTTGAAATGTGTTCTCTGGCAGGAGCTTGATTGGCTGCCAAGGCACATTTGAATTGGGAAGCAGTGTGGCAGACATGGCAAACTAGGGGGTCCCTGGGCCGCATTTATCAGATGTGTTTAAAGTGGCCCTTGTACAAAGAGGGAAAAAAATGTTTTAGCTAAACTTTAACTGTCAGGAGATTACATGGAGAAGTCCAGATTTCTGGCTTCCCTTAAAAAACAGGAAGAGCCAGTGATACAAAGCCCACCTTCTAGCTTGGACTCACAGTGGATACATACACACTTTTTACCTGCCTGGAGCCTACAAGGTCCTACAGTATAGCATCCTGGTTTGAAGCATTTTGGAGTTCACAGAACTTCATGGAGTCCTGGTGCTGTCATTTAATAGCCCTGTGCCGCAGTGCCATATACTTAACTTTTAGGCCCAGTGTTCTCATGTTTGTATAGTAATGCCTCCCTTTCCAGGTTATGGTGAGATTTAAGTAAAGAAATATATGTGAAGTGCTTAGTATTCACCTGGCACCAAAAAAGTACTCAATAAAATGTGGGTGTATCATATATGCTCAGTTGAACTTATGATTGGGCTAGATTATATAATTAAAGATTTTTGTCAGTTGTTAAGAGAGCCTGAGGAGTACTCCTTCTCACAAAAAGGGTGTAGGCAGAGCAGAATGAGTAGAAGATAAGGGAATGTGGATTAGGGTAACATGGAGGAACTGAACACCAAGATAAATGTTGGCACTACATGATAATCTCTGGGTATGCCTAATTTTCCCCTCCTGTGTTGATCCCAACCTCCTATTTGTCTGCTGGAGATACTACAAATAGAAATAAGATCATGTCTCTGAAGCACTTGTTCATTTCTCACTGAAGAGCAGTATTCAGCATATACAGTGGCCATACCCAGTGTGGGAGCTCTGTAGCTCATTTATTTATTTATTTAGTTTGTAGGAAGGTGTGATCCCAGATTACAGGTGTCAGTTAGCTGCAAAGGGGGATGTTATTTATCTCTCCCCCTATTTTTCCTTATGAATGACCTCTGAGTTGGTAATTGACAGGGATTATTGCCATTTTTTTAATCTCTGCTAGGAGGCTGCTGGAGTCTTCCCTCATTTCATTATCCCGTTATGATGGAGCAGGATCCAGAGAGCACCCAATTTACCCAGACCCAGCGAGGTAAGGCCAAAGTGAGAAATGGCACTAGGTGGGGGGGAGGGGCTGCCCTTGGGGTTGCCAAGCTGTTGGAAGCCCCATTCTGTGCCTCTCTGGTCCTGGTGCTCTTTTACTCTTCAGTTACAGTTTTGAGACAGGTGGTTCAGGTGATTGGGAAGTGTTGCAGGTAAGTGAACAGAACCTCTGATGACAGGGAGTTGTGACTGAGCTCTTGTCCTTTGGGGCTCATTCCTATAAGTGGGGCACTTAGAGGAGGGACCCGAGGAGGCCACTGGCAGAGTCACAGGATACTTCTTTTTTGCTAATCAGGGAGGCTGTTGCCATTCAAAGGGACAGCCAAAAGGGAAACAAGTTTTTATTAGTAGGGAAATTACTTACAAATTAAAACTAACCAGCTAACAAAAAATCCTACTGGCTCTCATTTGAGAGAGAATTTAGATTATCAAAAGGCAGAAATCAAGCTCATTCAGATGTTCAATTTTTGGATGCTACCTAAAGGAAGAGATGACTGACAAAAGGGTAACCAAAAAGAACAAGTTGCCATTTTATTAAAGCATTTACCTTACACTGATTAGAAGATATTTGAAGAGTTCTTGAAGGGATTTAAAAAACAAAAGAAAACATTTAAATGAGTTCACGGCCCACCCTTACCTGATACTGGAAATTGAGGACCAAGGATAGGGTGTCAAGTTGATGTATAACATTTATATAGCGAGCAGTCCTTTGGTGTTGTTACAACCAGACTTAACTGATTCTGTTAATGACCTCAAAAAGGGATAACCTTCACATCATTTAGGCAACACTAGAGCTCATTGTGAGGCTTTGCCAAAAGAAAGAGTAATTTATAATGGTGGGGTTGGCAAGTTAACAAATAGGGGTTAGATAAAAGCTAAATGAGCTTTGCTTTATTTTTATTTGTTTTTTAATGTATTCTTTAAGGTTATTCTTGAGAGAGAATGGATGGAGGAGGGGTAGAGAGAGAGGGAGACACAGAATCTGAAGCAGGCTCTAGGCTCTGAGCTGTGAGCACAGAGCCCCACGTGGGGCTCAACCCCACGAACTGTGAGATCATGACCTGAGCCAAAAGTCGGGCGCTTAACCAACTGAGCCACCTAGGCACTCCAGTGAGCTTTGCTTTAGATTAAGAATTTCAAGTCTGGAAAGGCCTGTAGATAAGGTTCATTCTAGGGATATTGAGTGATTTTGTTGTTGGCCACAGTGGTGTCATGATACTGAGTGCTCTTTCTGAGAGACTAATGAAAAGATTCCCCATTACCTTCTTGCTTCCTTTTCCATACCCCAGAAATGGCAAATCCAAGGATCAGGGAATATGGGGAGGCAGCTGAGATGACGGCCAAACATGGAAGTGTATGTCTCTAATCATACTTAAAAGTAATAAGTCCTAAATAAAAGAAAGAAATTTTTGGCATCAATCAAATGACTCTGAAACACTAAGACAGAGAACTTCTTGCTATAAAATAGTTTCTTTTAGGACAGCTATAGGAATCTCATCCCCAGAATTTTTAACCTGACAAAGTTTAATGGTAATTCTTAAAGACCATTATTTGTCTTCCTTTCATGTAATAAATCTTTTATTTACTCCCACTCAGATCTCTTTATCACAGAAAGTGTCATACTTTGTGGTGTTGCTATTTTTACATTTTCCCTCTGAACACAAAATAGGTTTTCTTGGAGGAGAAAATATTCTTCCTTGAAGAAAACTTGCAATTTATTAAACATTAAAAATTTTTGCTTGGAACACTTCAGAGTTTGGTGATTATACAGCTCTTCAGTAAGAGGATGATTGCTACCTCATTGCTGGTTGTTTAATTAGTTTTTCCTCTTAGACTTCACCCTACACAGTATATATAGGTCAAAGTGTTTGTGAGATGATTCAGCATTCAGATCCTTAGCTTCCCTCTGGCTACCTACAAAGACGAGGCCAGGATGTACTTGTATTTAATAATTGTGCCAGGAATCCCTTTTTCTTTGCCATTGATGCATATTTTTGTAGTTTAGAAGGAATTCCTATGCCATAGTGAAATTAAACAATTAGGTTACCTAGTGCTAAAATTGTGCCCTTACATAAAAGGGCAATCTTATTGTCTGCATCAACATTCTTTCTACTTCTGTCGCCAATAATATAATTTTCCCATTAGTTACTAGGGTGGGTTAACAACTGAGAAATGTGTATACTTACAGACACTTTTCAGAATCCATTCCAGAAGAAGAATCTTCATTCTGCTCTTGAAATGTTTTTTACACTCTTTTCTAGTCTGGTTGACTTGACAATTTAACCATCAATGGCTGACTTCTGGAAAATTTCTGTATATTTAGTAGGTAAAGGAACAATTCAAGAGTGCTGACTTTTGTCTCTTGAAAACTTAAGATTCTTGATTCATCCTTGCAAAATGCATGGCAACAGGGGCCCACATGGATAATGGAGGCTCCACACATTGAAACTTTTAAGAAATGATTCTTGTACTTACTCTGATGATCTTGGCCAAGACATCTGTGTATCCCATGCTGACCTGCTGTATGTTTTGGATTCAGTGATGCCAAATGCAGTATATTGTTCTGTAGCAAAGACTTTTGAGTTCCAAAGATTGTCATTTGGCCTTCTTGGGAATTCCATTTGATGATTGGCCAGAAGGATACCACCTCTGATGACTGGCATTTCAGAGACAGCCTTAGTTCCTATAGCAGGTGACTGCAGAATCTCCTTTGTTCTGAGTCAGTAGACACACTGAGGTTTTCCCAGAAACTTTGTTTAGGGGTAAGGAAATGTAGGGCAGCAAGATTTTGTAAATACTATCCCTACCATTTGGATGTAACTGTTATTATTTCCATTCTCAGTCAGTTTTTCCAGATTTCCATTAAATATATATGTGTTATGTGTGTGTACACACATACATACTTTTTTTCCTTTTATGTTCAAACATTATAGAAGTTAAGATTCCCAGGAATCCTCATTAGAATTGCTGTGTTTCCTTTAGTTTTTTGTTCTAATTACAGAAACATATGTTTTTGTATACATATTAGTATATGCATACCATTCTTCAGTTTTTCTCCCACTTAAATTTTTGTTTTAGAGGGTTTTTCTTGTGTGTGTATAGGGATGATTTATTCTTTTTAATAGTTACATAGTGTTTCTTTGGATATAGTTTATTTCTTTAACCTGTTGGTGGGCATTTGAGACATTTCCTAGTTTTTCACTAATGCTAACAACATGTATATATCCTTGTGTTTTTCTATATGATAAGATTCCTAGTGGAATTGTTGAGTCAAAGTGTATTGTTCTGCTCTCACTTTCTTAGTATATAGCAGTCTTATGAAAGATGGAGGAAAAACTTGAGAAAGGGAATGTGGTAAATTATAGCAGACACTAGGCGTTTTCAGGGGTATGAAGACACTAAGACACAGACTAGAGGTCTAGACTAATTCACTGAGAATAGTCACAGTAAGGAAGAAGAAAAAGGAATAACTGTTGCCTCCTGTATTGCTTAGTGCCCATGTCACCTCGGATGCTCTATTGTAAGAAATAGAAAAATCTTTTCTTCCCTGTGAGATTTTGTTTTCCTGAGTATATTTTACTCTCTTTTTCAATCCTGAATATTTTCTCTGTGTTACGAATGTCTGTGAGTAACCCATTAGAGCTGAGAGGTTCAGAGAGCTCGCTTTAGGGAGCTAGGGCAAATATGGAGCTATGTGGATTTGTTGGAGAAGAAAGAAGACCTGGTGAAGATGGTAACCTTCTCTAGTCATGTCCGTTTTGTCATCTCCTGGCCTCTATTCTCTTGTATAAAATGAAGGGAGAGCTGGCCTTTAGATGGTGGCTGTGGTCCCTTTTCGTTTCTTACATTTTGAGTCTGGATGGTTGAAGAAGGCTGTAAATCCGTATGAATGGCATCCTGAGAAGCTAAAATGGGTCCCTAAAGAAACTAAAAAAGGAAGGTCCAGTGTTATCCCCTTGGGAGGGGACAGCTATTGAGCAGATGATGACTGATTACACAGCCTCTTTGCCTCCTCTCGGAACAGAAACACGGGTGGTAGTCTAATAAGCATATTGTGCGGTACAGACCTCCTGGTGAGTTAAATGCCCTTTATTTTTCACGTCTCCGGAGTTCGCCTCAGCGGGGAGAGCTGGATTTACTGTCTTTCACAGTATTCCCCACATTAGTGCTAGTTTGTGTTTGTCCATCTCTGTCTCTCTCAGATTATCTCCTGCCGCATACTACGCCCAGAGGATGATCCAGTATCTCTCACGGAGAGACAGTATTCGCCAGCGCTCCATGCGCTATCAGCAGAACCGGCTCCGTTCCTCCACCTCCTCCTCTTCCTCAGACAACCAGGGCCCATCAGTAGAGGGAACCGACTTGGAGTTTGAGGACTTTGAGTAAGTACCTACTCAGCTTGCTTTCTTCCCTGTCCTCCCAAGCTGTGTGTGCTTCTAAGTTGACCACTGTCCAAGCAGCAGTGGTTGACCTTTCTTGCTTCAAACCCCAAAGTTCTTATGTATGAGTAGCAGGATGGGGTGAGGGGAAGGGGGGTTAAAATGTGCAGGGTACTGCCACCTCTGGCAGTTGTGCTGCTGTTTCATGGAGCCTGTGGGAGAGATGGCCCGTTGGCCCCAGGCCAGGCTGGAGAAGATGGCTGCTGCTACATAGGCAGCACCGTTATTTCCCTTTTGCATGAACAGTGGCTATGGAAGTGCTTCTCATGGCCTGTTTTCACAATGTCAGAGAGAAAGGATGGTTGGTATTTTTTCTTAAGCAGAGTAGGTATAGAGATTAGAAATAACAGAAATATCTGGGGGTGCCCGGGTGGCTCAGTTAAGTGTCCGGCTTTGCTCAGGTCATGATCTCGCGGTCCGTGAGTTTGAGCCCAGCCTTGGGCTCTGTGCTGACAGCTCAGAGCCTGGAGCCTGCTTAGGATTCTGTGTCTCCCTCTCTCTGTGTCTCCAAATAATAAGTAAACATTAAAAATTGAAAAAAAAAAAAAAA